CGCTGAGGTCAAACCTCCTGGCAGGAAGAGGCTTGCTTTTGATGACAAGAACACAAATCCGGCTATGGCAAAGGAGGGGCTTTCAGCACAGGAGGCCCATGTTGATATGCAAACTGCTATGGTAGTTCACTCGCAGGCGGGGTTGAACACAGGGGAAGTAGATGGGGAGGAGGGGGACATGTCCTCACGCAATTCGAAGAGGTCGAAGAAGGAGAACTCGGCTGTGATGGATACCAGCCACAACTTATCGGCGAACTCCGAGAAGGGGCTCGACCGGTCACAATGAAACTCCTCGTGTGCAACTGCCGCGGGATGCGTAAATCTGCGGCAGTTCGAGCGCTCTTGGGGGTCCAAGAGCGAATAAAACCGAATGTGTTATTCCTGTCTGAAACACATCTGGACAAGGCTAAGGCAGGAAAACTGAAGAGGAGATTGGGGTTTGATGAGATGGAAGTCTCGGAAAGCGATGGTAGAAGTGGAGGTCTGATCATGTTTTGGCACACCAACCTGGGAGTCTCTTCCTGGGAAACTCATGCAAATTTCATTGATATTCGAATAAAGGAGACAACACCGGAGGGCTGGCGGTTCACAGGGTTCTATGGTGAACCAAGCAGCGACCGGAAACACATGTCTTGGGAGTACATGCGTGCTCTTCGCACAATGGCAGATTTGCCATGGCTAGTAGCAGGCGACTTCAATGAAATACTGCATGCTCATGAGAAAGAAGGGGGGCTGCACGGCCCCAATGCTGTATGCAGGCCTTTAGCAATGCATTAAGTGACTGCGGGCTTGACGATCTTGGTTACTCTGGGGATATTTTCACTTGGCGAAGAGGACGCATAAGAGAGCGCTTGGACAGGGCTGTCTCGAGTGGTACGTGGGCAGACTTGTTTCCATCTTATGGTGTGTCCAACGAGCCCTTCAACAAGTCGGATCACCGACCAATTTTGATTGACACTGAATTCCAGCAAGGCTTGCAACCAAGGGGCCCGACAGGGCCAAGAAAATGCGAAGCAAGATGGCTTGCCGAGGAGGACGTTGAGGTGATTGTTCAAACTGCTTGGGACCGAGCCAAAGCGAGTGGAACTGGGCCATACTCGCAGGATACAAATGACATACATGCTGCGTGGCATACATGGGATAAAGAAACACTCAAAGGTCGCAGGACTAGGTTGAGGAAACTACAGAAAGAACTGAACGATGTTCTGTCGGGACCGCTAACGGAGGATGCAGTTGCACGACAGCATGAATTACACTTGCAAATTGAAAACCTACTCGAGCAGGAGGAGATATATTGGATTCAGAGAGGCCGCGCTGATTGGTTATGTCACGGGGATCAAAACACGGACTTTTTCCATAGAGCTGCTACTGGAAGACGTAAGAAAAACTTTATTAAGAAGCTGAAGGGAGAGTCAGGAGATTGGATCGAGGAGGAGGACCTCCTAAAGAGTCATGTGGCAAGTTATTTTGAGGGACTTTTTTCCTCGGAAGTACATGACCCAGACCAAGCTGTATTGGACAAGGTCAAGGCGAGAGTCTCGCCAAAGATGAATGTTGAGTTGATGAAACCCTACACTAGAGAGGAAGTGAAAAGGGCTATGTATAATATAGGGGATCTGAAGGCACCGGGACCTGATGGTCTCCATGCGGTTTTTTATAAGAGATTCTGGCATATAATTGGCGAGGACTTAATCGATGAGGTGTTGATGGCAGTGAACAATAGAAAGATACCAGAGGGATGGAATAATACCACAATTGTTCTTATTCCAAAGGTGGAAAATTCGGAAGTCATTACACAATTCCGACCAATTAGTCTGTGTAACGTGGTTTATAAGGTGATCTCAAAACTGCTTTCTAATAGACTCAAATACATGCTACCAGAGATTATTTCACTAAATCAAAGTGCTTTTGTCCCCGGGCGCTTGATTACTGACAACTTTTTAGTTGCTTTTGAGTCTTACCATGCTATTAAGAGGAAGAGGACGGGGAAGTTTGGAACATGTGCGGTGAAGCTAGACATGCACAAGGCCAACGATAGGGTCGAGTGGGTGTTCCTTGAGAGGATTATGCTGAGGATGGGTTTTGCATCTGAATGGGTTGCACTCATCATGGAGTGCGTTCGGTCAGTGAAGTACCAAGTCCGATTCAATAACTCTCTGCCAGAATTTTTCATGCCTTCTAGAGGCCTTCGACAAGGAGACCCGTTATCGCCTTACTTATTTTTACTCTGTGCGGAAGGCCTCTCAAGTTTGCTCATTCATGAGGAGGAGGCTGGGAACTTAATGGGGGTGCGAGTCTGTAAAGATGCCCCGGCAGACTCGCATCTCCTTTTTGCATACGACTCCCTTATTCTGATGCGTGCAGATGCCACTAATGCTACAAGCCTTTGCCGGGCTCTTGACGATTACTGTACTGCCTCTGGCCAACTTGTGAGCGAGGCAAAATCGAGTATTTTCTTCAGCCCCTGTACCCTTGCGGAGGTCCGAGCAGAGGTGTGCTCTATTCTGAATATAATGGTGGAGGCCATATCAGATAAGTACCTGGGACTGCCACCAATTGTTGGTTTGGACAGAACTGATTGTTTTCAACATATTGTGGATAGAATCTTGGCCAGGATGAGAGGCTGGAAGGAGAGGATGCTTTCTTTTGGGGGGAAAGAAGTGTTACTGAAGGCTGTTATTCAAGCCATCCCATCCTATGCCATGCTTGTGTTCAAACTCCCAAAACAGATTCGCAACGCAATAACTTCTGCTATGTCTCAGTTTTGGTGGGGAGATGAGGATGTGAAGAAGCACATGCACCGGTTTGCATGGTGGAAGATGTGTGTACCTAAGAGCCTGGGTGGAATGGGTTTCAGAGATGTGCATTGTTTTAACCTGGCCCTCCTAGCGAAACAATGCTGGCGACTGCTCGCAGAACCAGAATCACTATGTGCGAGAGTCTTGAGGGCAAAATATTTCCCAGATGGTGACCTACTTAACTGCACTCTTAAAAAGGTAGTTCTTTCACTTGGCAAAGTCTATGGAGTGGTATACAGACTTTCAAGAATGGTCACATTTGGAGAGTTGGAGATGGTACACAAATAAATATTTGGGATGATCCTTGGGTCCCTAGCAGCCCAAGCAGGAAGGTGATGACCCGCAGAGGTAATATAGTTCTCACAAAAGTTTCTGAACTTATTGATATGGAGAATAGATGCTGGGATGAAGAACTGATCCGACAGGTGTTATGGCCTATTGATTCCAATAGGATCTTGAACATTCCTCTTGCTATAGGAATGATGGAGGATTTTGTTTCATGGCACTACAATTAAACGGGGTTTTTCTCGGTTAAGACGGCATACCACATGGAGTGGGATCATCAACATGGACGAAAGTTGAGACAAACAAATACCATATTGTCTTCAAGTACTAGTCCAGTTTGGCGCACTCTTTGGAAACTTCAAATACCGGCAAAGATCAAGGTGCATGTTTGGAGAGCTTTGTATGGTGCAATCCCTTGTCGGGGAGTCCTGGCCAATCGACATATGATAACAATCTCCGACTGCCCGATATGTGCCACGGATTGTGAGAGTATTCGTCATTCTTTCTTTAGATGCAACAGAGTGCAAGAGATTTGGGCAAAATTGGGCTTGCTTCCCACCGTAAGCGAGCTGTGCGAAAATGAGATGGAGGGATCTTCGGTCCTTGGTGACCTGTTGCTAATGCCAAGCGTTGCGGCTCCGTCACTCCCGGGTGTGCCCATGAAGGAGCTGGTGGCTATGGCGGTTTGGTACATATGGTGGGAACGACGAAGATTCACGCATGGTGAGCCCATCCAAGAACCTGGAAGATCGGCCCAGGCCATTGTTACTTTGACCAAAAACTTCTTGAGGGCAAGGAAGCATGGTGCGGGCAGGATACGAAGACATTGATGGACGAGACCAACAGAGGGATTTGTTAGCCTCAATATCGACGCCTCTTTTGATGCTGACAGTGGCATCGGCGGGACCGGGGCCATCATACGGGACTCTACAGGTTCTTTCGTTGCGGCATCCGCGAGCAACATCCCGTTTGTCCAAGATGCAGCGACAGCCGAGGCACGGGGCCTCAAGGATGGGCTGGTTCTGGCAAACACCATCGGCTGCAACAAGGGGCGGATTGTATGGAGGTCATCCAGATAATGCAAGACGGAGAAAATTCCTTAGGTCCAGCTGCAGCCATCTATGAGGAGTGTATTTTCTTGTGTCGTAATTTTATTTCTGTTAGTTTCTGTCATTGCCCTAGGGAAGCCAATATGGCGGCTGATCTTTTGGCTACTAAGTCGGAGCCCTCGCGAACTATTGTGTGGCAGAACGAGGCTCCAGACTTTCTGCTCGATGTAATCACAAATGATGTAGCCCTATTTCCACATGAAATATAAACCGCCATGATGGCTTTTCCCTCAAAAAAAAAGTTGCAAAATTTAACATTGGCATTTATCATTTAGTTTCAGGCTGTTCATAATATACACGGTAATGAGGACATAAACATTTTGGAACAAAAAATAATGGTACTACCTGGGAAGGGAGGGAGGAGTAAAAAAGACAAGCGACTCCGCTGGGGATCGAACCCAGAATCTCTGGTTTCGTAGACCAGCGCCTTATCCATTGGGCCACGGAGTCCTTGAATGACACGATTGAACGTTAAACTTACTCAATAAGATACCAGTGACCGCATCACGATGTAGTTAGTGAAGGCAGTGACCGAGCCATGATGCGGTTAGTGAGGGCTTTGAGTAAACTATGGTACCAAACTAGGCCAGCACACAGCATATCATAACTGAAGGATTCAACCACGCAGGAGATAAAATAAAATTGTTCAGAACATGGACACAGAACGCAGGCAACAAAAAGTGGAAGAACATTGGAGGAAACGGCTCCAATTATTAACACAGAGGGTGGATGGCTTGGCTTCAGTCAAGAAGTTCTTATTCAGTCTTGTCCGATAAAAACATCGCTTCGAATATCGATGGCCTCACGGCTAGGTGAGGTAGTTGATGAATTCGACGGCGGTCGCGATGGCGCCTCCGGTGATGGCGTCCTGGGCGATCTTGCTCCCTTTGTTGTTGGTAGCAGCAGAGACCAGGGCACCGGTTGCAATGCCTCCTATCAACGCATTTTTCTACAGGAGCACCGGAAAAGAGAGGGGTTAATAAACAATCTGAGACCGACACAAAACATGCAACAGTAATATCGATTATGAATGCAAATAGTACTGTATTTTGATGGACAAGAAGATTTCTAACGTGCTAGCACAGCATTAGACCCGCATAATCTTAGGACAGGGTGTGGAGACAGAAGTTAAAATTATCATCATGAGTTATGACATGCCATGGATCTGATTGAATCTTCACTTACACTACTTAAGCAATTAGCTCAAGATCTTACTCAACAAAAGAAAGATGTAGATTGCCAAGTAGGCAGATAATGTTGTTTGCGACGGGGAGGCAGTCATGCAGGTTTTTTTTTTTTTTTTGAAAAGGGGGTATCCCCGGCCTCTGCATCAGAACGATGCATACGGCCACAGCAGTCATGCAGGTAGATTTTCCCTCGACCTAAGGTTCAGTTAAGTGCAGGAAACATGAAAGATCCATTTTCAGAGAATCGTTACCCAGTCACGGTCACCACGGGCCCTTTCCACTCCATACTCCATGCCTACATACACCCCAGCAACAGCACCTGCAGATTAGTCGAAAAAGCATCTGAATCTGTCAGCGACAATTAGAAGAACGGATGAACGATTTATTGTTAACACGTTTATTGAGCCAAATAAGACAATATAGAAATGTTCTTCTACTTAGTTACCCCAATATGCTCCCTCCTTGCACATTTTCTTCAGCTGCATAAAAAACCAGAATACCACATCAGTTGCCTGAACCTTAACGCAGGTGCAGAAATAAGGCGACATAATTTTCACTAATCCACAAGTACAGAGCAATTATACAAAAATAGTGTGCAGGGGCTTAATTAGACTTCCAGTTCAGCTCTCTTTCCTCCATTTAAACATTATCCTTTGCTAAAAAAAAGAACCTTAAACATTATCCAACAGGGTATGCTAAAACTAGGCGCTGCTACTGAAATAGCCTGAAGTACTGAACATTTAGTCAGTTCCAGCTTAGAATATATCGGCTGCCTGTCAGTCCACAGCTATTGGAACCGCTGTATGAAAAATTGGCTGATTAATTAGTTAACTACCACCCGACCGAGCAGTTACTAATTAACGATTTCCTGAACAACGAGTGGAGCATCTAGTTGTTTGACACTCAGAGAGCAGCAAAACTCAGGGGAAATGGTGCAACATAATGCCCTCTAATTACACGGCAGTGATGGCGTCAAGCCACCGGTGTTTACAAAACTAAGTGAGAGAAAAACAAGTGCGGTGGAAAATGATGCTTACTGTCTCTTCAAGCTGGCGCTTCGAGATATCCCCTGCAAAGAAACCAAGATAATTTGGTGTCACATTTGTCTGCACAGCACCAACAAAAACTGATGTACACGAGTGAAAAATACTGCTCTATAACACTGGATTACAACGGACAGCATCTGGCCAGTATCTAAACAAGATCCGGGCGGTTCTGAATCTAAGCTACTCTGCGTCTCTGCAAACCTGACTAAGTCCTCTAATTACACAACAGCGATGGCCTCAAGTAGATGCGATATTTCAGCTAGCACTTAGTCAAGCTGCTTTTCACGAGACAGAGACACTGCATCTGGCTAAGTGTTAACTGAAATATGGCACGCTCTGAACCTAAGCTAACTCTGCTTCTTGGCGAACACATGTGAACCTTCGTCCAGATAAGGAAATCCCCTTTTTTATCTATTTCCGGGAACGGTTCCATCAGTCGATGAGTTTTTTCTTTTCTTTTTGAGAGAGAATGAGTTGATGAGTTAACTGAACACAAACATCCACACAAATAAATCCAGATCATGTGGCTAGCACCAGCGTTTCTATACTAGAGCACGATTTTCTGAAGATATAAATAAGGCCCTAATGGGAGGCGTTTGCATCAGGAGAGACGGGATGCGTTGTGGTTACCCCTGTGGATGCAGTCGAAGGCGTCCTCGGCGACCACCCTGCAGGCGCCGACCTGCGCACATACATTGGATCAGAGTCAGACACATTGCAACATACAGACATTGGATGAAAGAGGAGGGAGGAAGGGGGCGCGTACGGCGCCGATCTTGAGGAAGCCGTCGACGGTGCGGTTGAGCAGCGGGTTCCCGAGGTCGATGGCCACGTCCACCTTGTTCGACCCCGCCTCCAGCCCCGCGCTAGGCATCCTTCCCTGCTCCCTTCTCGTCTAGCACTCGGCGCAGAGAGAGAGAGATACAGAGCAAGAAGATAAGAGTGCAATACAGTGAGCTGTGCACAGTGGGATATGTATAGAGGGAAGCAGTGGCCGTGAAGCCGCGGGAGCCTTCGACCCTACTCCGCAGGGGAGCCCACGGACGGAAACAAAAGCGTCGCTCCCTCCCTGCGTCGGTCCCCGTGGGATCCGGCCATGGATGCACGGTGCAGGATGCCCTGCCGACTTGCTTCCCCAGAGTTTATCCAAAAGAAGAAGAAGATATGGCACCCTTTGTTTCCATTTCAATTTGGAAATGAAAAATATGAAATGGAACGAATTCTTTTTCCAGGATGGTTTCATTCCGCCGAATCTGGATTCCATGTGTTGCCGACACTCGATTTCTCAATTGAAAGGATACCTATCTCATGCTTGGCTGCCATTTCTGAGGTGTAAAACAATAAGCTGAACACACTAGACAAACATTATCTTTTCTGACTTTAAAGTTTATGCCGGGATGAATTAAGTTAAATCACATAATCCATATTTCTTATATTTCTTTACGGAGGAAGTACTATATACTGCGCTTCCTGACTTTTTAATCCTCACAATTAGTTCCAACCAATTTTGACCGGGTCAACACTTTCTCAAGCTCTCCCATTCAATTTTTTTAGTTCACCGTGTTAACTAATTTTAAAGCTCTTTCATTCAATTGAGCTATTCAATTTTGAATTTGATTTACTATTTTGACTAGGCCAATGATTTTTCAAATCAATCACCAACAACACGCCTATAAAAATGTATCAATCCTGCACACCCTCCCACCATCTAAAAAAAAGCTCCACCACATGATATTGTAGTACTTGCGACCATCGACACCGAAAATTCCTCACATAAATATAGTTTGGTTAGCGGATAACTCAGAATCACACCACCAAAGAAAATTCCTCGCATTATAAATAAAACTAAAACACACTATCATCTCCACCACCCGCAAAACAAAATATCCCATCAGTTCCAAAATATAAGGGGTGTTGTTTTTGTAGAAAGTCAAGTTTCTTCAACTTTGATCAAGTTCAGAGCAAAAATATCGATACCAACAATATTAACAGAAAAAGTATGGAAATTCATTTCATGATGAATTTAAAAATACCGATTTGATATTATGGATTTTGATATATTTCTCTACAAAGTTTATTGAACTTAAAATGTTTGACTTTTAAAAAAAGTAACACATCATATATTTTCAAACAGAGTGATTATTTTTTGAAGAAACCCAACGACACCAACAACGCAGCAAAGCGCACCCAACCCTTCTAGTCCTTCATGAAGCAAGCTGCTCCATAAGGCACGAGCCCACATGATCAAATTTGGACCGCCATGTTCAGATCCATAAAGCACAAAATGCGTGTCTTTGGCACAAACAAAGAAAATGTTCAAAGTGCCAAAGCTTGTGTCAAGCAAGGTATGGAGGACAAAAGAGAGACTATACATTTTTCATCACAGACACAGATGCAACAGGACCATACGAATTAATCTTTGCATCGAATGAAAGGGCTTGAACTTGCATCAAGAACTATCTCTTTTCATTCCATCAAGTAAGGCTTGAAGAGATTTGATCTTCTGGCTTGTTTGTTGTCATGCAAATATGATGTGAATCATGTAAGAAAACTTACTAAAGTAGTAATCAAACGTGTTAAGTTGGAAGTCTAAAGTGTGTCAGACGTCTGCATTACTATGAACAACATTCTATTTCGAAAAAGACATCTAGGAAAAAGAAAAGGATACACGGGTAAAGGCAATGTATACTTTGGTGGTGTCGGAGGAGAGGAACAGGCGGGGGTACTTTGCATAGGATTATCCTATCTTTTCAGTCTTGTAATATCGGTGCTTACGTGCCTTGTAACCGAATCTTTATTATATAAATGAGACACGCATTACCATGCAAAAAAAAAAGAGCCGCATAAAGAACCAACTAGTACTAGTTAAGAGGAAGACAATGCTTTCTTTGTTTCAAGAAAAGAGAACAAGTTATTGGTCCGGTGATTTCAGTGTCCAATCTCAAGATGTGCTAGAATTGGTCTTGTCAAATTCAATCTCTACTGCCTAACCGGAAAATGCAGCACACCCTGTAGATGCATTAGTTGGTTTTGTAATCAAGGATTTTATTCCATCACCTGCACCATCAAATTTGGGCTTGTCCTGCTAATAAATAATATGAAATCAGAAAAGCTTACATGGCTGCAATAGTATAACTTGACATCAACAATATATAAATATGGTCAAATTTTATAAACAAGGTCGCAATATATAAATATGTCCTCGGTGCCTCATGGTGCTACTTTGCAGCTACACCACCGCCATTGATGATGCTTTACAACACCACCGCGGGTGGACGGAGTGAGATATTTTTCTCAATTTTCAGTCCAAAAAGAAACAACCAAAATAGCTGATCACTGAGAAGTTCACAATACCAAACTTCAGGATCTGTGTAGCCTCCGTCAAAAGTCAAAACGAGTGTAACCCTTTGATTTGGTCAATATAATCTCGTTCGTCCAATCTCCTCGGCCTGCCGCCGCCGGCGCTCCCGGACGAGCTCGTCGAGGAGATCCTCCTCCGCCTCCCGCGCGACGACCCCGCCTGCCTCCTCCGGTCCTCCCTCGTCTCCAAGGCCTGGAGCGGCGCCGTCTCTGGCCCCGGCTTCCGCCGCCGCCTCCACGAGCTCCACGGGGCACCCCACGTGCTCGGCCTCCTCCACGACCAGGCCAGCGACCGCGCCCCCTGCTTCGTCCCCACCACGGCCTCGCCCTTCTCCCTCGCCGTCCCGGACGGCCGGTCCTGGCTGGCCCGCGACTGCCGCCACGGCCGCGCCCTCTTCTTCCCCAAGGGTCAGGACGCCAGGGAACTCCTCGTGTGGGAGCCAATCACGGGCGCCCAGCACCTCGTGCCTGTGCCCGCGGCGTTGGAGCGCGGCTACTTGGCTGCGGCCGTGCTCTGCGCGGCGGACTGCCTCGGGGGCCCTTTCCGCGTGCTTTTTGTCTTCCCCGGCGGGTATGGCACGTCGGCGTGCGTGTACTGGTCGGAGACCGGTGCCTGGGGCGAGCCGGCCTCGACACACGGCAACTTAATGGTATACATACAACATTCCGGCGTTCTCGTCGGCAGCTCTCAGCTCTACTTCGTCTTCTACGACCACGAGGAGAGTGGGTGGATCCTGGAGTACGACTTCTCCATGCACTCCCTCACTCTGTTCAGCGCACCGGACAACGGTGGGCTGGGAGTAATCCAACACGCGCATCCGCATCTCAAATTGTGGACAAGAGAGGCGAGTGATGGCACTGATGCGCGATGGGTGCTCAGCCGGGTCATCTCCCCGTGCAATTTGCTCCCAACTAGTGCTCGCTTGGATGAAGGTTATAGAGTGCTAGTGGTGGGCTTTGCCGAGGGAGCAAATGTCATTTTCGTTAGTACATTGGCGGGACTCTTCGCAATTGAGCTACAATCTAAGCAGGTGAAGAAGGTGTGTGATCAATGTAGTTTCTGTAATGTGGTTCCAGTTGTCACCTTCTACACTCCTATGGCCCGAGGCGACCACCAAAATCTGTTGACGTCAAAGCCTGGTGAGGAGGCAGGTGGTGAGGATGGTGTAGAGGAGGAGAAAACAGTAAATTAGGCGCAGTGGTCAATACACATCTGTTGATGTCTATACAAGAAGCCAACATTTAATCTGTTCATTTTTGCCAATGCTATTGCAGTGTTTGCCATGTTCCATATTCAATTGCAATTGCTCTGAAAAATCTCCATTGTTTGCTCTTTGCCATGATGACAGTCTTTGCATGTTCTTCTGCAAGTGTCAAATGTTGCCTTTTATGTGAAGTTCACGTTTCATTGTGCTAGCATTATATTCCTCTTACATGAGTGTAGCTTTCTGTTTATATATTAGGTATTCAGTTCTACTAACATCTCAATCTGGTAGTCTAGTTTAGATTCCAGACTCAACTTCTTTATGATATATTGTAGTTGATGGAACTTTGACAAGAATTAAGGCACCAAAAGTGGATTGACACCTCGAAGAAGTGAATGATGTTGAAGACATGGTATGAAGATAATGCAAGGCTGCTGAGGGTGTGGATTAATGTCCTAGGACTTGAAAAAACAATTTAGCTTCTACATATGATAGTTCATGTACAACGATGTTTAACATTTGAACGGTTCAGATCTGTTTGATCTATGCCCCCTTCAAGGTCTTTATGAAAATTTAGTTTGATACATAAAACAATGAAAAAAAAACAAAGAAAAACTGAAGGAAACAAAACAGTCTGCCCAGAAGAACAACTTTGTGTTTGATTTTTCCTGAAAAGCCGGAGGCTGGAATGAAAACCCTGAAGTGTATATAGCGGGTGCTTGTTGTTCCTCCTCTACATGGCAACTGTTGTCTTGTGTGGTCAGGTGAGATAGTGAAGCAGAGGCGGCATTGCCATTTAAGATGAAGGGATAGGAGCTACCGCTATCGGAGCCAGTACATCAGTTCTCACCTCCTCGGCTACTGCATCGTTGTTGCCCCCATCACTGTCAAGCTTTGGCAGGTTTTTGTCTTGCCTTTCATCTATTGGCGTCTCAGGTTATTGTTGACTTAATTTCGTTAAGTTCCACCCTTCCCCTTCGGCGATAATTGTACGGTATGTGTCCCAACATGTGTTTTCTGACTTCTGACCTATATATTGACAATTGAAAATATTCTACGCGTGCATGCATGCCGACCCTTAGCAGCTACATACTCATCTCCTTTGGGGGTGGGCCAGCGGAGGTCGCGTCTCTCTGGCATGGCGCCGCTGGATGAATCCACACCGACGGCCTAAGCTATCCCCCGTGCTGGTGCTAGCGATGCTCAGCACAAATGCATGTGCGTCGACCTGTTGGCGTGATGTTGGCGATGAGGAGTTGGCCGCGCCAGGCAGCCACCCGTACATGGCGATCAACGTGTACATGGCCAG